GCCTTAGAGATCCCCATAACTGGTTTATTCAGTAGCACATACTCTGGGTCTCCTGGAACCTGTACCTGGAGGATTCTTGAAAGCAGCGCAAAAAGACGATTCCAGAAGGAACGCAATTTTGGGCAGTGCCACCAAACATGGATCATCGTGCCCTGCTGATTACATCCTCTGAAACATAAGGGGCTGGACCCTGGAAACATAGTAGCTATCCTTGCTTAAACTAGGTACCATCTAGAGAAGACTTTATAGTTGGCTTCTAATAGGGAAACATTGAGCATCCCCATTGTTAACCTCATGGTACACTGTTTCCATTCATGTATCGTGAGAACTTCTCCTAACTCAGTTTCCCAAGCTTCCATATAAGGCAATTTCGTAAATGAGCCTAACTGAGCCACATAAATTATAGAGATCCCCCCTCCAAAACCTGAGGGTCCTAGGCACCATCTTTCATACAATGACCTCAACGGAGTGCCAGCATCAGGCAACTTTATCGACTGTAGGAAGTGCCGGATTTGCCCAAACCTTAACATTTCCGATGGTGGCAGCCTGAGAGTATTTTGGCAATAGGCTAAAGATATTGGTTTGTGACCCTTAATGAAGTCTGCAATTCTGTACAGGCCTTTGTCAATCCACCATTGGAACGCTTTGGTCTGCAATCCCGGTTGAAAATTTACATTATTAAATAATGGTGCCAAAGGATAATGAGGGGTGACCATATCCACATTTCCTCGCAACCGATCCCACAGGGCAATAGAATGTGACAGTGTAGGGGCAAGGATCGTCGGCCTTTGCCTAGACGCCATCCATTTTAATCAATAGGAGTGCCCCTAGCTGAGCCAGCTACTATTTTAACCCAGTCCGGGTTTTGATTTGTAGTATTTATTTTTTTTTACAAAACCAGCACAGCGAAAAAATGCAATAAATACATTCATTTATTTGTCCCTTTATTTTTAATTTTTTTTACACTTTTCACTATTTTTTTTTAAACTTAAACATTTTATTTTATTTATTTAATTATATCAAGCAGTCATTGTGAATTAATCTCACTATTACTGCTTGATAAATTAATACATTTTTGTTTATTATTAGGCTGCTTCAAACTTCAGAACAGCCGATAATAAGTTAGTGACACTGATCCTGCAGCAGTTCAGGATTCAGCTGTCACTAGTTTTCTGATTGTTCCAACAACCATCAGAAAACTGAAACATTCTTCTTTCAGGAATAGATACATTATGTGTCTATTCGTGAAAGTGAAAGAAAAAAAAAAGCCAGTATAGCTTGAGACATATCTCCTTGATCTATACGAGCTGTCAGAATGCCGGCAAACATGCTGGCTCTGCTTTTACTCTCAGACACCCGATCTTCAGGTATCGGGGGTCTGAAAAAGGTTAACCCTTTCATTAATGGATGCCTCTATACTGAGGCATCCATTAATGAATAACCGCTGAGAAGGTTACCAGCCTTCTAGTGCAGCAAATAACTCGTCACGTACAGCGTACGTGACAAGTCATTTGGTCCCTTTGTGGCGGGACGTACAGTGTACGTCTCCCGTCACGAAGGGGTTAAACATATAGGATATTCTGTATTGGGTGTGGCAGTACCCTACCCATATTAGTATGCAATGTCAGCTGTAACATAAATATGAATAATATTATGTCAGCAAAACATATATAAATTATGAAAGGGGTTATCTGCTTTTGTTAACCCCGATCCACACTCGGGAATACCGATGGAAACGCGCGGCAAAACCCCCCAAGAAGCTCCTGTACTTTGGGCGTAGGGTGTTTTGCAGCGTGTTCCTACGCGCTGTAAAACGCCCAGGTGGGAACCATGCCCATAGGCAATCATTGGTTTTCACATGTTGAGTGTTTTACAGCGTTGCAAAACGCCCAGGTGTGAACCAGGCCTAAGTCTTGTGATGGGGAAAACCTAATTCGAACTGGTATTTCTTCTATAGTAAGGTCCATCATTGCCTTTAAACAACTTTCCTGTTAATTTTTTGGCTCAATACGTCCTCTGGGTTTTCGGTGGGTTCCGTTTTGATTTAAAAACTATAGGTGTAACAGAAAAATTTTATGATTTCATATCATGTCATTCTGTCAGAGTAGTCTACATGCTGGAATGCCCATGCAGGTTACAATATGTGGGGTGGACAGAGAGAAGTGTAGCTGAAAGGATACATGAGCATGTGTAGAATATAAAGATAGGATATAAAGATCATAATGTTTCAAAACACTTTCGAAGATATCATGGGAAAGACCCAAGAGGATTGAAGTTTTGGAGTATTGCAAAAGACACAGGATTGTGAGAGTGATTCAGAAGGAGAAAGCAAGGGCACAACAAAACTTCACATGGAAAGATTGGATTTACTTGGTGTAAAAACTAAGTTGACACAGTTTCATGTTTTGTCAGTACACTGACATATGAAACTAGTCACGTTCATTGAACACTGTTTCACTTGGTACAATTTTTCACAGAGGATCATTTCCAATACAATTGGTTTATCCTATATTATAATTGGTTGACAAAGGATTCTATACTTGATTTTCGGTCATTTTATATTTCAACTGGTTCACACTGTTTGTCACTTACGGGTTAATTTTATACACCGCAGTTAATTTTGGGTTTACGTCGCTGCTGTGCTTGATGATTGAATTAGCTAAGGTTCATGCAACCGATTTAAGGGAGCAGCTGTAATTGGGATACCCAGCATTGTATAGAGATTGAGCGCAGAAGATTTTGTTTAATAAAATCAAATTCTACATTGAGGCCTTTTCAGTTTCGTTGTGTCCATAGTATAAATCCACCTTGATACATTTTGGGATATGTTTCTTTTAAGATTGGTTCCTCTCCAATGTTTAATAATCCTATCGATCACATCATAAAATTCAACCATTTGGAGCAGAGGAGGCAGCATTGTGTGGAATCTCGCGCGGGACATGCAGTGCCGGGCGGGTAGTTATTTTCTTCATTTAACCCTGGTTTGGGCAGGTAGTGCTATATATAGAGCGGGGTTGGAGAGGTCTCTTTATTTTTGGACTCTCTTGTACACAGACTTTGCCTTGTGGGTATCATGTTATATCCCACCTAAAGTCAAAGACGTTCACAATTGGGAAAAAAATTGATGTTTTTTTCCAGACTCAACCGCTCTGACCCAATCGCATATAACTGTTATTTTTATGATGGGCCTGCTACATACACCTATCCACTGGAAGACTTTCGTCAGTTCTTCATACAGGGACTAGGCTCATTGTTCACTTTGGGAGCTTTGGGACACACGACAGTGTCCATTTCAACTTTGGCCTTCCAAAGCTATATTCATCACGCTCACTTCTACTAGATCTAAGTATTTTGAAATGAACCACTTGCTGACCGGGGTGTTAAACCCCCTTCCTGCCCAGGCCATTTTTCAGTATTCAGCGCTGAGGTACTTTTGACATTTATTCTGTCATATAACGCTGTACTGAAATGAATTTTATACCATTTTTTGTGGACAGAGCTTTCTTTTGGTGGTATTTAATCACCACTGGGATCTACATTTTTTTATTATATAATGAAAAAAGGACCAGAATTTAAAAAAATATATATTTTCCCTACGTTATGTTGTAAAACATTTATTATTACCCATTGGTAAAATATAAAAGATCGGGTCACATTGTGTAAATAGAAAACAAAAGGGAACAAAGTGCCACCTAAGTGTGTAAAATCGTTTATTACAATAAATAAAACAAGGGATAAAAGTACTCACAAACAAACGTTTTCATCAGGCTTTAACAACAAACGAGAGGCCACAAAAGCTTTTACCGCTCATCAGTTTAGTGTTATCAGTGATTGATGGCCCTAGAATTATTGCTCCCACTGCGACATTCGCGGCAATATGTAACGTGGGGCGTATTCGTTGTTTTTGCACATAGGCGCACCTGGCGCGTATTTATGTGTATAAGTGCGTGCGGGGGCGGGGGACTTAAAACTTAATTCTTTTTTTTTATATGAGACTTTAATTTTTATTTTTTTACTTTTTTTTCTTTTCAGCTTTTTTAAAAATTATTTTACACTTAACTTGTTTGCCATCACATAGGGGACTAAAAATCCCCCAATATGATAGCTAGAAAAAAATGACCAGTCCTCTTTATAAAGACATCAGGGGTCCCCAAGACCTTTGTCACCTAGGGACCCCCAAAGAAATTGATAACGCAGGGATATGCTTAATCAGCTTCTTCTCTGGCACTCAGTCAAAGAAATGACAGCTAAAGGCGGAAGTGATGGAAGTGATGTAATGCACATCGTTTCCGACTTTAGAGAGAGAAGGGGAGAGATCAGCGGTGGGGGAAATGCTGGTCTCTCCTTCTTCTCTCAGAGCAGGTATGAGCAACCTGTGTTCTCGGTGCTCGGGATAACCGACAACGATGGGTGGCGGGGGGATGTGCTGCCATGCGAGTTATACAAGCGATCTGCCAGCGGGTTTCTGCTTGTGCGCGCCCGCAGAAAACAAAAACTCACGTACAAGTACGTCCACTCGCCGGGAAAGATCCGCCGTCCGCCTGTATTTTTACGATGGGCGGACGGCAAGGGTTTAAAAACGCTTATTTACTCTTTGATAAATTGTTGCTAAATACCTTTTGTACGAGTCTTAGTCAGCGATTTATGTAAACGCTGTGCATGTTAGGGTGGAGGCTGCAGCATTTGGCCACTGCCAGTGATGCCACTTTTTATTTCAGGTCCCAGTAGTGTACAAGCAAATATATTTACAACCAAAAATAGACTTGTTAATAACATTTATTTGGGTTTACATTACATAGTTACATAGTATTTGAGGTTGAATAAAGACATTAGTCCATCAAGTCCAACCTATTAGGATCTCATTCACCAGACATTCATTTTAAGAATATAATTCTGTAGCCCCTGACAAAGTTCCAGGACACTGTGTGGTCATGATAATTTTATTTAGGCTGTAATAGTTTTCTTTGTGAGTGGAAGTTCTAAAACAACTTTATATCTAGGTTAAATATCATGAAGAGTTTGACAAGAGCCGGATGGGTAATCCTTCCATCGATGCAGGAGATGATCGTAGAGGTTCCGAAGATGGCGCCAATTATCGCCGAACCCCCTCGGAGAGCATGCCTTCCCATCAACCCCCGACTGGTGCCCCAGGTAATGCAGCAAAATAAAGTATCTGTGCTTTTTATAGAGCATCCAGTCATATTTAAAAAGGAATGTTTTGTGTGTATTTTCCTAAAGTGCAAGATACTAAAGCTTGGCCCAGTGGAAGATCCTCCATCCACACAGTTAAGCATCGATGGAGGAATCTGTTGCACTTTTTCCATCTGACCACAGAAAATCTGCAGATAATATTTAAGGTCCCCACACACCTTACGATAATCGTACGATAATCGCAGGAAATCCCGCAATCGTACGATGTTCGGCGGGTTTGTGGCATGTTCGTACGATAAAAGCCGTACGAGCCAGTGTGCGCAAGCGCACACTGCCCGTTCGGCATTGCGGTCATCGGAAGCCCGCTCAGGGGGCGTGGCTTGCGATCGTCGCAAGTACGATCTGCCTATGCAAGATAGGCACAATTTTCCTCTAACTTTATCAATGTGTACCATGACAGCTGGTCCTCCCCGGCCCCACCCAACAACCTGTCCACCTGATCTACAATGTGTTGAACCCAATCACCCAGTGAACAGCATACAACGGTCACAGTCCTGGTGACAGATTACCCTGTCTGTCCTTTGAATAATTGAGTGCCTACCACCAGTATCTGTCTCTCCTTACCAATATTTCTGCTTCCATCCTTCCTGGAGCAGTCACTTCTCTGTCAGATAGGGGAGGTGTTCTGCTCCAGCAATGCTACCTCCTAAGCTCATATCACCAATATCATGCAAACAGGCATAATTATGGGGTATGTCAGCTTAGAACTAGCCTCTCTAACACTTTTTTTCTTTTGACTTTTAATTAAGAATGTCAACTTCCAACATAACAGAAGCATTAACATCAGCTGTTACTAATTGAATGGCAAGGAAATATGTATAAAAATCAGGCATGACCAGTCCCCCCTGAGAAGGGTAGATCTGGTCATAGTAGAAAATTTGTATCTCTGAGCCCCATTATAAAAGCAGTATACAGTTGTATGATTTGTTTAAAGAAAGATTTAGTAACCCAAATTGGAGAATTGAGTAACGGGTAAGTAAATTTAGGGAGACTCTTTATTTTATTCAAATATTGGGTGAGGTGGGGGCGTGGCCAGCAGCCGAATGTGAGCAGACGTCTGTAGGGGAGCTCTCCCGCACTTTATCCTGAACGATACCCGTCGGGCTTTCCGGTACCCGTCTATCCTGCACTGGCCGATTGCCTAGGTCTCGCTGACGCCTGCACTCCGTTTTCGGGCTTCCTGCAGCCACATTGAGACCGGGAGATGTCCAAGAAGAAGGATGGTAAGGGCCTCCCTCCCGCGATCCAAGATGGCGGCGGCACACAGCACACGCTCCCCACCCCTAGCAAGCAGACAGGGGACAGAGGCAGGGATACAGCGGCGCGACTGGAGCGCTTCGCCCGCCATCCTGACACCCCTGCTAAGGGGCAGAGGCTCTCCTATTCTGCAGATCGGGCCACCCGCAGGGAGCTACTGATATTGGGTGAGGTAGTAATGCACCTGTGCAAAACAATTATGATCCATTGCGTCCCTCAAATGAATAGTTAATTTCCAAACATTGGTATTACTCTCAAATTGTTATCAGTGGTGATAGCTTCGAACGAAAAATTTTCTGTTATAAACTTATTATTATTATTGGAGAAATGTTCCGTTATATATTTACCGATAACGGTATTTCTATGAATCTTCCAGGACAGCAACCTGAGATGATTAGCTCCTCCTTCTACAGGAAACGCAATTAAAGTGGTTAAATACCCTCCCATCCCCTCGTCCCTCAGTTGACATAAAAGTATACTACCTCCACCAATGCACGAGGGGACAAACTCACACCCATCAACAACTTAGATGCATAAACAAACTCCAAGGTGGGAAGTAGGCTTGCTGTCCTGGAAGATTCATAGAAATACCGTTATCGGTAAATATATAACGGAACATTTCTCCAATAATCTTCCAGGCCAGCAACCTGAGAGGATAAGCAAGCATACACCAAGCAAGCCTACCTCTTTAGGGCGGGACAACAGCTTGAAGCACTTTTCAACCAAAAGTGATGTCCTGTTCCAACAATATTTCAACTCGGTAATGCCTGATGAAGGTATCTTGTCGTGACCAGACGGCTGCCTTGCAAATCTGGTCCACCGATGCCCCAGCTTTTTCTGCCCAAGATGTAGGTAGTGATCTAGTAGAATGAGCTTTTATAGAGGAAGGAACTTCCTGACGCTCTGAATGATGCATACAATCGTCTCCCTAATCCATCTGGCGAAGGTGGCTTTCGATGCCTGTAAACCCTTTTCTGGCACCTGAATACAGAACAAAAAAATGGCTGGACCTTCTAAAAGTTCTAGGCTTCTAGATAGTTGATCAAACACCTTCTGACGTCTAAGGTATGAACAACTTCTCTTGGATCCTTAGGGTTATCACAGAAAGAAGGAAGAATAATCTCCTGAGATCGATGATACTGGGAAGACACTTTTGGCAGGTACAAAGGATCTGGCCTAAGAATAACTCTATCCGGCAGTACAACCAAATAAGGATCTTTGATAGAAATCGCCTGTAGGTCTCCAATTCTTCTAGCTGAAGTGATAGCTAATAGAAACGCCATTTTTAGTGACAACCACTTCACAGAGATTTCTTCTATCGGCTCAAATAGGAGCTTAGGCAGGCCACCTAACACCAAAGACAAATCCCACGGAGGTAACATCTTATCTTTCAGCGGACAATGACGTTCCACAAAAATATGTAAAAATGTAAAAATAGAGAGAGCCGATAATTGGACTTTCAGCGTACTGACTGCCAATTTCTGGTCCAATCCTTCCTGTAAAAAGTCTAATATGATAGGAATCGCAGGTGAAACATTTCTGTGCCTACACCATGAGGAAAAGACCCTCCAGACTTTACTGTAAATCATCCTTGTAACCGTCTTTCTGCTAGAAAGAATGGTTTCAATCACTTTTTCAGTACACCCCTTTACTTGCAGGATCTGCCTCTGAAGAACCAGGCCGTCAAATGAAAGAGATCCGAGGTTGGATGTAAGACTGACCCCTGAGACAGCAAATCCCTTTGCAAAGGTAGAACCTAAGGAGGGAGGATGGATTGAACCTGCAGTTCCGAGAACCACGTTCTCCTGGGCCACCATGGTGCCACCAGACCAGGGGTACAGGGTGACTAGCTCAGTTTCTGGAGAATACAAGGCAGAAGAACCAGAGGAGGAAATGCGTATCCCAGACTGAAATCCCAGCTCTGAGCCAGCGCATCCACTCCTCTGGAACCCACCTCCCTGCACAGGGAATAAAACACAGATACCTTTCGGTTGAGTCTGTTCGCGACCAGGTCCACTTCCGGCTGTCCCCACTGGTCGACTATTTGTGCGAAAACTTCCTGGTGAAGTTCCCACTCGTTCTGGTGTATACCCCTTCGGCTCAGAAAACCGCAGTCTCGTTGCATACCCCCCTTATGTGGACTGCTGAAATTGAACCCACTCAATACTCTGCCCAGTGAAATATTTCTTCCGCCACTAGCAAGAGTGCTTGGCGATTCCCTTGGTGATTCAAGTAAGCCACTTTGGTGTTTTTTTTCCGAAAACACCTTTACTTCCTTCCCCACTAGACTTGCCTGGAAGGCTAGCAGTGCCTCCTTCACCGCTGTATAGTTCCTTTACAGTTTGAAGAAGTGTTTACCAGGTTCTGAGGCCAGGGACCTGAGCATCCCCAACGTATGTGCCCCCCAACCGCATGAAATTGCATCTGTCATGACATGAATAAGTTCTGTTTGACCCCACAACCTGCCCTCCATTAGCCACTCTCGAGATATCCACCAGGTAAGGGACTCTCGAACATCTCCTGAAAGGTGAACTCTCTCTGCTCTAAAGATTCCCTTCTCCTGTCCCACTAGGACAGCAGGAACAATTGAAGACGCCTGGTATGGGATTGAGCCCAGTTTAGAACTGGTATTGCCTAAAAGCTGCATGATCTCCCTCAAGGTCAAAGAAATGCTGGACCAGGCGGCCTGAGATGATACTAAAATTTTTAGGATTTTCTCCTCTGTCTGAAAAAACCTTTCTGCCACCAAATCCACCCTGTAGCCCAGAAAAACCACAGACTGGGTGAGGAACGATTTTTCCGAATTCACAATCCAGCCCAAATGTTCCAGCAAGTCTCTGACCTTTTTCATGCTTAACAAGGCTTCTGACGGACCATAATGACTGAGGATATCGTCCAGATACAGAATTAGACAAATGCTTTGGAGGCGCAAAAATTATACTGGCTTTGGGGGATGTCGAAAGCCCGAAGGCAAGTACCAGTGAACTAATCCCACATCCGTTTTGATTGCAAATTGCAGGAACTGTTGATGTTCTAGACAAATGGCTATATGTTGGTACGCATCTTTCAAATGCAGTGTGATCATAAATATTGATTTTCGCAGGGTTCTTCGAACCGAATAAATAATTTCCATCCGGAAATGTTTGAAAACCAGAAACCGATTAATTTTTTTCAGATTTAAGATCATCCTGAACTTTGCATGATGGTTTTAGTACCAAAAACACATTGGAATAGAATCCCAGAAACTGCTGCCCCGCGGGAACTGGAACTACCACATTCTGTGAGGCCAGATTTTGAACACATTCGCTTGAGCTGCCATCTTTTCTTTGGGTAACCTTGGAAAAAAAAAATGGGGAGGTTGTGTTTAGAAATTACAGACGATAACCTCTCCTTAAAGGAGAACTATGGGGTCAGTGTTTTTCCCCATAGTTCTCCTTAGAGTAACGGGAGGACACAAACTAGCGTCCTCCCGTTACCCTAAGCTCAGTATACATATCCAAAATAAATTGACTCTGAAATCTTCTCCCAGCGAGACACAAAAAGGAAAGCCTCCCTCCCACCTTTTAAATGATTGCATAGTCACCACTCGGGATGCACCGATACCAAGTACAGTACTCGGTACAAGTACAGATACTTTTTGAGCTCCAAGACTAGAGAAATATTCGAAAGTTAAGAGGCAGCTG